AAAAATCTTAGAAAACAAGATGGCAGCTCACCACTTCCGCTGACTTCCAGGGCAGCATCTAAATTGTCTGGGACACCGTTCCAAGCATCTGCAATTAATTTAGGAAACCCAGGATCCATTTTCTTCTTTACTTCGTTGTATCTGTAAAATACACAGGAGCAGAAAACACACGTTCCTTTCTCACCTATTATCCTGGTCATCTTTTCATCTTTCCTATTGCCTTTTTCCTTAGCTTCTTATGACTATAACTTTGTTGTTTTGTGTCTCATGATTTATGTCGATGGACTTTTATTTGGTAGCCTGTTATGATTTATATTGTTTGCTTGTCTAGCATCCTATGGCTGTCACTGAGTTTGTATCTTATGATTTATGACGATTGTATTTTATGATTATAGTGATGATCTATCATTTGTTGCTTGTATGTTACACTGAGAGCTTCTGCACCGGAGACAAATTCCTTGTGTGTCCAATCACCCTTGGCCAATAAAGAATTCTACCTTCTATCTTCTGAACTTAATTGGACATGGAAAAAGGTGCTGGAAATGTGTGAATCTGTGCAATTTTCCTAACTTCCTGATGCTGTGGTTTCCCAGCACTGGAGTTGCAAGATTCCTTACCGCCAAAATTTGTCCCCTGCAAAAATGTAAGTCTTCTTGTTTTTGCTCCAGTTAAATGCGGCATTGACACGCTGAACATCTGGAGGCAGCCCAAGATTGGTAAGCCTCTTTGGATACCCTCTTTCCAAGGTGCTGGCTGTATAAACCCAGTATTCATTTCCTAGGAAAATAAAGCATCAAGTTCTCACCATCTCTCTTGAGATTGAGAAGAAGGGGAAAGGCGGTTTCTCAGTCAAAGGGTCTTGGATTTCAGGAAGGGAAGCTAAATTATGTAAATTAGGAAGGTAGATTAGGACAGACCAAACACTCCATTTCAGAATTTACCCCCTACTCTTTAACATTATCTCTACGTGTGACAAAATTGTGCATAACATAGGAAAGTGTTCTCCTGCTTTGTTTGTTCCTTTCTGTGGTTGCCTGCTTTGGGCAAATTAAAGGCTGTGGATTTGACTAGAAGATGACATGAAGACTTGTTGAGGTTGGGCTGTAGGAGGTGACCAAGCTGAGCTTTGTGTGTGTCGAACTCATCAAATGAAAAAAGTAACTAGGGGTAACATGATAGCAGTGCTCCAATATTTGAGGGACTGCCACAGAGAAGAAGGGGTCCTGTTCCTCTGGTTAGTGGTACTCACTATTAGGAAGTTTCTCCTTAGTTCTAGGTTGCTTCTCTCCTTGATTAATTCTCATCCATTGCTTCTTGTCCTGCCTTCAGGCGCTTTGGAGAATCGGTTGACCCCCTCTTCTTTGTGGCAGCCCCTCAAATATTGGAGCATTGCTATTATGTCACTCCCAGTCCGTCTTTTCTCTAGATTAGCCATACCCAGTTCCTGCAACTGTTCTTCATATTTTAGTCTCCAGGCCCTTAATCATCTTAGTTGCTCTTCTCCGCACTCTTGCCAAAGTCTCAACATCTTTTTTTTATAATGAGGCAACCAAAACTGGATGCAGTATTCTTCAAGTCACCAAGGTTGAAAAACACTGTCCTAAATTTAATTAGCCTATACATTTAGTTAGTAATAAATAAATAGTATTTAAATCTTTGTTCCTCCTAAAAAAAAACACAGGATGTGAGGCTATAAATCATGGACTTATAAAATGAAGTCTTTAGGCTATATCCAGTTATCATGTAATATGATAATTAAAATGCCATTCAGCTATAAAAAAAATCACTCCGCAAGACTTCCCCCCCCTTTCTTTAAATAAATTTCACTGCATTCCCGCTCGTTTTATTCTTTTGTGTTGATTGTGTGTTGTCATGTAGCAGATCAGAGCAAAAAGATATGCTATTCATTTTGGTCTGGCTGGGGCAACCACTGAAAACGATTTCCCAGATCAGCTGGCATGGCTGCGTGAAAATAGATCCTCTGCAAATAGATGAACTTTCATTTTGATTCCATTTCTCATTTGGAGTGGTTGAAACTTTGGTTCATTGCGTGTCACCCCACTCCGAGATATACAAAAAGTCCATTTTCATATAAACACACTTTGCATTCAAATGTGAATGCAATTTTGTGCCGGTTTCAACAGCATACTTTTAAAAATCTCCTGTGTAGTTTATTGTACAAAACCTATCCATTCCTTTGTAAAGGTTTTTCTCTAAAATATAGAAGAGGGGAAGGTTGGGTTGTTTCTAACCGAAACACAGCCCTACAAAATTTAAAGCAGGGCAATTTTTGAAAGATAACCATGTTTGGGTCAAACCAGAATACAGAATAAGAGAGTTGGAAGGGACCTTGGAGATCTTCTAGTCCAGAGGTCCCCAACCTTTTGGGCACCAGGGACCGGTTCCGTGGAGAGAGGTTTTTCCGTGGACTGGAGAGTGTGTGGTTTTGTGTGTTGCCTGCATCCCATGTATGGGGGTTTGTTTGTTTGTGCGGACCGGTTGCTGGGATGCCACGGACCAGTACTGGTCCACAGACTGGGGGTTGGGGAACCCTGTTCTAGTCCAACTCCCTGTTCATGACAGGAGACCATATACCAGTGATGGTGAACCTTTTAGAGACCGAGTACCCCAAACCTGCCCCCGCCTCCCCGCCCACCCCCGCTCTGTGCCCCACCCACTCGCATGGCCACCCATCGCCTCCATGGCCCACTGCAGCAGATTGCCATGGCAGCCCAGCAGCACCATGGCAGCCACACCCTCTGCCCATGCCCCGCAGCATCATCTGCGTGTGACGGTGCGAGGGCAGAGTCTTGTCCCCGCTGCGTGGCTTGCATGCCCTTGGCTGTGCTGTTCTGCACGGACTGTGCTCGGGGGCAACTCTCCCCTGGGGGGCTGCTGGTGAGGAGGGGGCCGTGGAGGAGGCGGGGCTGGGGCAACAGTGCATGTGCCCGCAGAGAGGGCTCTGAATGTCACCTCTGGCATGCGTGCCATAGGTTCGCCACCACTGCCCTATACTGTGCTGGACAAATGGCTGTCCAATCTCTTTTTAAAAACCTCCAGTGATGGATCACCCACAACATTTGCAGACAATCCATTCCAGCTTCTTCAAAAATGGGGCAATTGAATGCAAATTTGCATTGACCTACTAATTAAACGAATTGCTTCCTTCTTCCTAGCATAAAATAATCATGGGCTAAGCAGCAATGTGACATTAGAACATCTTCCCAGTTACAATTTCTAGACCTTGGAGGCCAAATCTTCTGAAGAACATCTAACTGGAGCAGTTAGCTTTACAGACGTCTGTGTGCACATTTGTGTGTGTCTATGTTTACATGATTTCAGCCCAACCCTACCTGAAAAAAATACCGATTTCTCTTCCTGAGGGGCTTCGTAGACAGCGTCAATTTTTTCTGGAACATCAGTCCAAAAAACAGCCACAAGCAAAGGTCCCGTTGGCCGGCTCCTTTCATTAGCTGTTCTCCAGAAGAATCTAGCCGAAAAGTTACAAGCAACTTTATTAGCAGATGTGCTTTTTAATCCAACTGAGCAAAGTGCATTCGTGTGTACACACGCACACACAAACACACATCTACAACAATGCTTACATTCTACTAGTAGCATAAACATTAAAGTACAGGGGCCTTTGTTATTATTCAATGCATCAATCTTTTATTGGTTGGGATTGTCCCATGAATTTCTTAATGTGTTGCGCCCAGACGTTTACCATTTATAACAATTTTCTCCAACACTCACATTAATTCTTAGCAAAGAACAACAACAAAAAAAGCAAGCAAGAAAGATGGAATAGCGGGTGCTTCAATTATCCTAGCAAATAAACTCATTTACAAGGCACTTAAACTCTTTCAGCCTTCTCCTTCGCTGTACACAGAACAGATGGATACGCGTTTGGCAAAAGCCAACATTTGTATTGTATTCCATTACTCTGGAAGATTATGATCGTAGCAACTGAAAAAGATCAAATCTAATAATCATCGATCAAACAGCTTGGCTGTAAATGAAACCCGGGAACATTAAAACTGTTCATCAGAGGAATGAAAGGAGCAATTTAGAAGCTGTTGAGCTTGCTACCCTCTTTCGATTTATGAACGCTGCAAAAAAAACACAAAAAAACCCCCTAACTCTGGTTTGATTTCAGCAGCAGTATGTAGGAAATTATGGGACAGGATGTTAATAAAAACGTTATTGTGTATTTTGTTTTCTTCTCCCTCCCTCTCTGATGAGCAGTTCATTTTGTTTAAAGAACTCCAGAACTAATAGCTGGAACCAGCTGGCCCATTTTTCACGCAACAAGTCTGCAAAAGCTGTATAATAAGACAAAGCTGCCATTTGATAGATATTGAGCAAATGGCTTGTCAGATTACAGTTCTTAGTTGCATTATCTGTTCTTTGTTTTCATTTTTAAGGGAGAGCTAGTTCTCTGGATGACTGAAATCCCTCCCCCAACTTTATAGCTGTAATAGTGACATGACCTCAGTTGACAATTTCAACACGTCTGTCCGATTCACATGTTAAACTTGGTCGCACTCTTTCATTGTGCCTGTTATGTCACTACCTTGAATTTAAAACTAAACTCTTCTCCCAAATAACCAAGGTTTATAGTAACCCAGCTTAGCCTGTTGTGCAAACGCAACTGTTAGAGCTTTCGTTAGGGAATTAAACATGGTTCCCAACCAGCTGTTGTCACACAAAGTGTGGCTCCTTGTGCAGGTAGTCCTCAACTTACGATCACAATTCAGCCTGAAATTTTTTGCTAGTAAGCGAGACAATGATTAAGCAAATTTTGCCTCATTTTGCAATCTTTCTTGCTGCAGTGGTTACGGGAATCTCTGCGGTTGTTAAGTTAGCAACACAGTTGTTAAGTCAATCTGGCTTCCCCGTTGACTTTGCTTGTCAGAAGATCGCAAAAGGGGATCCCATGACCCCGGGACATACTGCAACCATCATAAATATGAATCAGTTGCCAAACATCTGGATTTTGATCACTTGACCACGGGGACGTTGCAATAGTCGTAAGTCTGGAAAATGGTCATAAAACACTTTTTCCAGTGCGGTTGTTACTCTGAATGGTCACTAAACGAATTATTGTAAGTCAAGGATTACCTGTAAGGGTATGTGAGAATGGCCTACAGAGCTACAGACTAACCAGCATGTAAAACATGTCTCCGGCCACAGAAGAGTGTGGGAAAAAGAAGGGACCTTCTCTAGTTTTTTGGAGAATAAAGGAGGAAATAGATATCTAACAGACCCTTCTCCGGCCCCCACTCACCTGTCTTTGAAGAAAAAGATTTCACCCCTTATCTGAGCCACGGCATCAAAGACAAGATCTTGGCCACAAAGTTCAGGCGTGACCGGTCCAAGGGTTGGCTTTGGGCCTGGTCCAACCTCAGTAGAACCCCCTGCAAATCAAGAAAAAGTCAACAACAATGCAGACGTTCTTGTTGTAAGCTTAGAGGTCAAAAAGAGAAGCAACATCAGGAATCCTTTATTCTGGTAGTGCCAATAATAATAATAATAATAAAGTGTCTCATAACATAGAAGAGGAAAAGAAAAAGAAGGGGGCACCTGGTTTTCTTTACATGATTCACCAGGATTATTCTACCATTTTAGGTTCTCCTGGAAAAGCTTGAACACCAAGATTAATAATGATACGGAATCAAACGTTTCCGATATGTTTTAACCAACTGGGAGCTTCACCGTAAAGTTCCTGGATTCCTTGAATGTCGTCTTGAGAAAGACGGAAGTGCTTGGTATAGGTGTAAATGGGGGCCATGAGCGCGCCAGGATCTTCAGAATGTTCCAGTCCCATTGCGTGGCCAAATTCATGAGCAGCCACCAAGAAAAGACTGTAGCCTGAAAGAAAATAAGTCAGCTTTTTATGGCTGTTAGATGGTATTGTCCATAGATCTCTTTGGGAAATTAGTCTAATCATTTTTTTTTTAAAAAAAGCAGTTTATGGTGCTTTGAAGACATCTAAGACAGAAGATGTAACAACTGCTCTGAACAATTGTCCATGATGTTTGGATGCTGTAGCTCATTTCTAAACAATTTATCTGCTCAGAAGAAACGGTTGCAGGTCTGAATGCGTGATATTCTGTTATTCTGTTATATCGTAATGGTGCAAATGAATCTAACAGAGAAAGGACTATGATCAATATCAAAATTTCAGTTTACTACTTCTAGTATTTCAGCCTTTTCCTCCCTAATAGATACGAAGGGTACAAGGGAAATATGAAGACTATTCTTATCTCTGATCTATGCATACTGAATTGAAGACCACAACATATAATAAACCCCTTTCATACAACGGCACATACAATCTTGGAGAAAGCATCATGTATGTGTATATATGTACATTTGTAGAATTCGTTCCAATCTTTGGCTGAATGCCAGATCCTCAGGATGTGGGGATTGTCACCCCAACTATATCCTTTCCTCCCTGCTTCATTTTCAAGCAAGCCCACCTAAACCACTAAAAAAAAGTGTTAACCGTCAAACAAAGTTGTAAGTTTTTAGTGTTAAGCCATGTTTTGCTGATAAACCATAGTTGGTGGCATTCGTAACTTGCATGAGCTCATAAACCAAAACTTAGAAGTGCCAAAAGCTGGGTTCACAAAATATACTGAGTACTGTAAAATTCAAAACTGTGAAGATGAAGAGGCACATGGTATCTAAACTCTACTTTTCAGCCACATTCAAACATCCCTGATCCAGCTGTTGGGAAACTTTGTGAAAAGGAATGATTTATGGGTAACTTCACAGTTGACTCATTTGTGAGTTTCTTAGGCTGTTTTGGTGTTTTGTTTTTGCAATTCTTTCTGGACATTTGATGATCTCAACAATACTTCTGAGAATGAAGGAAGCTTGCAAGTGAAATGTTTTGATTCACGAAGGATGTGTTGAGATGCAATCTAAAACTTTAACCTATTTTGCTAGCTTTGAAACATAAGAAAACGATGCAAGAGTGGGCTGTTTTGTAAGAACTGTGTTTTTTTTTTAATTCTTTGACCTCTGCTCTGTTTTGCTCCATTAAAACTATGGGGCATTCCTGGCCAAGTTTTTGATCCCTTGGAGGAATGCTGTACATTTATAAAAAGGAAGAAGAGCAGAAAAATCTCTACCGTGATCTGGGCAAAATCCCCATTTGCGATCTTCATCATAGTTACTAGTTGTAGAGCACCACATCTTCCCGTCTTGACGTCCCGAAGTGGTACAAGAATCATATTTATTCCCAAGGAATATAAAAGGAAAAGTACACGGTTGTCCTTCAGAGTTCCCACCAACGGTAGACATTGCTGCATTAAAATAAACAAAATAAATTCAAAGCAGGAACGGCTAATAGTATACTATCAAATTCTTGCCTTGTCATTCGGATGTTTTATTGTCCTTATTATGAAGTATTGCTTTGATTTCTAGGACCCTGTAATTTGTAGCTGATGATGTTGAAGAAAGGGATGTAGGACTGCGTTCCTCCAAACAAACTCATGCCAATTGTAGCAAAAAAATCCTCTTACCTGTCTCTGGACAAAATCCAAATTTCTTGTCCCGGTCATAATCTTCAGTAGTGCCACACCATCTATATCCATCTTGCCTTCCTTCTGTTGTGCAGCTGTCAAAGGATCTTCCCTCAAACATGAAGGGGAATTTGCATGGTTGCCCATCGGAGTTTCCACCCATGGTGAAAAGAGCTATAAAGGATAAGAGGCATGCAATTTAATTAATTAATTAATTAATCAATATTAGACTTATATGCCATCCATCTTACCTAGAGTCAACTCTCGGCAGTTTACAATCCATAAAAGAACCAGATAAAACATGATAAAACTCTGTACTCTAGAAAGAGTCCAGAGAAGAGCAACAAAGATGGTTAGGGGACTGGAGGTTAAGACACATAAGGAATGGTTGCTGGAATTGGGGATGTCTAGTTTAACGAAGAGAAGGACGAGGGGGGACATGATAGCAGAGTTCCAATATCTCAGGGGCTGCCACAAAGAAGAGGGAGTCAAGCTATTCTCCAAAGTGCCTGAAGGCAGGACAAGAAGCAACGGATGGAAACTGATCAAGGAGAGAAGCAACCTAGAACTAAGGAGAAACTTCCTGACAGTTAGAACAATTAACCAGTGGAACAACCTGCCTCCAGAAGCGGTGAATGCTCCAACACTGGAAGTTTTTAAGAAGAAACTGGACAGCCATTTGTCCTAAATGGTATAGGGTTTCCTGTTTGAGCAGGGGGTTGGACTCGATGACTTCCAAGGTACCTTCCAACTTTATTATTATTATTATTATTATTATTATTATTATTATTATTATTATTATTATTATTATTATTATTATTATTACTACAATAAATATTAACACCGAAGAGTCCCTGATTAACATATGATTTACGCACAAAGCAAAATATGGTGGAGTGTGGTTTTCCTTTCTTTTCTCTCTAGATATAGAATTTTTGAAAATTTTGGAATTCTTCTAATACAAACTATGGGGGAATTCTAGGAGTTGAAGTCCATGGGTCTTAAAATTCCCAAAGTTGAGAAACACGGCTCTAGTCAATATCCAGCCTGTACCTTTTACCAGACTGTTTCTTCAAAAAGCTGAAGCTAGTTAAGGGTGTCACATCCACGCACCACCACTATTCTTCACCCTGTTGTAGCTGGTGTCTGTCATTCATGCAACAGATGTCATTCTTTGACTTTTCTAGATTGCTAGTGATTTGAGAATGGTTTGCCTCAACCTTCCATCTACATTCTTGTTTGGGCAGAAGACCCTTCTAACAATGCTAGTTAAGATGCATGTCTGAATGTAGCAAGCGTCTGAGTTCCAAGACTTTGTTTACAATAGCTTTTCTTTGGAGAATGGAGAGGGAACAGAGGCCGTTTAAGACAGACATACTGTATTCATTTGCTAGGGAAGCAGTTTTGGGCTATAAACTTGGCCAGGGTTGGCCTTTAACAGCATATCTTATTAGTTTAACCACTGAACATTTGGGGGGGGGGAAGTATGGAAACTTAATGCAGTGTTTCTGGAAATAGTCATTGCCTCAACGTCCAAAGATGGCTTTTTATGTTTAGTAAGCACAGCCACCGAAAGTTTCCAGATCCTCTGTTTTTCCACTATTCTCTTTTAGCAGCTTTTGATTAGCTTTGATAGCAGAGACAACTCTAAAACTGGAACAACTATAACAATAATTAAAAAGAGGATCTACTTTATTCAATGGGGGAAAATGCTGGAAGGCAGGATCTCAACAGAGGGTCTTATGATTTGTTCACAGAATTTCCCTGTTTCACCATTCCAAGGGCAGTGAGGTTTTAGGAGGTTTCCCAAAATATTTATCCATGAAAGAAAAAATGTCTTTCTTATTTCCCTGTTTAACAAGCATTTCCAAGTTTAGTTCTAAAGTAACACACACAACGGATAGATCATCACACAGACACAAGACGTAAAACAAAATAGGCAAGGAAAGGACCGTACAAATTAGTAATTCCTGGTGAATTTCAAGACAAGCACTTTCTCCAGTATGTGTATATTTATAAGATTTACAGAGAGATAGGGCTTGTTTTTCTTTCTGCCAATAACATCAAAATGTCTGCATTTACATTCAGCCCAGCTGGCGTTTCCATGGCTCTCCTTCTCAAGAGTTAGTCAAAAGTCAGAGGAAGGTTGGGGGAATATTTTGACGCACAGATTTGTTTTTATATATATATATGATTGATGGTATTTAAATCCTGCCTTCCTATAGAGCGCAAATCAAAGAGTAAAAGCTGAGACACTAGAACTGTAACCAGTAATACATTACGAGTGATAGCCACACCATCATCCATGGGAATTAGCCCTGGTAGCTGGGACTTGTGAGTGTTGCGGTACAAAAAAATTGGATTGAGGGGTTGATTTGTTGTTACATTTACCTGTGATATTTCTTTTAAAAGGGAAGGGATTAGTGAAGAAGGGAAGAGAAGAAATGAGTAGGGTAGGGTAGGATAGGGTAGGGTAAGGTAAGAAAAGAAAGGAAGGAAGGAAGGAAGGAAGGAAGGAAGATGAGGGAGGAAGGGAGAGAGGGAGGGAGGGATGGAAGCAAGGAGGGAGGAAGGAGGGGAGGGAGGGAGGGAAGAAGGAAGGAAGGAAGGAAGGAAGGAAGGTCTCACATAAAATAGCACTTCCTAAGGGTTTTGGGTTTTGCGTCTTCAGGGAATCTATATAACCTTGGAGAAGAGACACCGCATGCAGTGGTGAGTAGGGACCTTTGAGTGAGATGAACTCTAACCCATTGACATTTAGAAGACTCGCTCTTGTCTGCTCTTGTAACATCTGCATTTATTAGGCAGCTTTTAGAAAACAATGTTTTGGAATAATCATGTGAACAATGCCACTATTTGTCTAACAAGGACCATCTGTGGGTTTGTTGTTACTCAGTGATTCTGACAAAAAAAATGCGTCACACACAAAAGCTCCCGATCTGTCTCCAAAATCCCATCCCTGGTGTTTCCAGTTTCTTCTTCATTAAATGCAAATATCTGCCAAGCCTCGCTACAATCTTCTAATTTTATGAACCCATTGCAAAAAACAAAACAAAACAAAAAACACAACATATCCTAGTTCCCAATATATCAAGGGGAAACCCTCCATTTTTAATAGAAAATTGTCCTCACGGTAGCCCTAGTGTACGGGTATTTTTGGTGTTAATATTTATTGTTTTCATGTTTTATCTGGTTCTTTGATAGATTGTAAGCTGCCTAGAGTTGCCTCTAGGCAAGATGGGTGGCATATAAGTCTAATATTAATTAATTAATTAAGTCTCTGTGAGGTGGACAAGGCTGAATCTCAGTGGCCATTCCCGCATTCGATGTCTGCCGGTCCAGATATAGCACACAAATGGGCATTTGCAGGATCCAATCTAGGTCAGTCACCAAGACCAGAAGTTTAGTTTTCTCCAGCTTTTGAACACGTGCTGGAGCCCACCCCCTGGGAACTTCTCTCTCTCCATTCTGGTGAGGGAGAAGTTTCCCCAGGATGGGCTCCAGTATGAATCTGAAAGCTCGGAAGACTAAGTCTCTAGTCCTGGTGACTGACCCAGACTGGATCCTGCAACATTATCCCCTGGGACATGTATATTTGCCTTCACTCATGGGAAATGGACATTTGCTTACTATTATTTCTCTTTGATAACAGCCGAGCAGAGAAATGCCTGGTTGTGCAGTGATAAAACTGGCATTTGGAGTTGGATGGTTTTGGCAGGCTTTCTAGTTTCCTGCCCACTCATGACTCTAGTTTCACCTCGTCATTTCCCTGAGTTTTTAAATTCAGTGGCGTTTTTCAGGTCCTCCTCACCGTGCTGACTCTTTATCTTAATCACCTCTGACAAATTGTCCCTTGGGAGATCAGAGGAACCTATGGAAACTAGCACACGCGAAGATGGAGAAGAGTCAACAGTTCATGTCTACCCTGTTGTGGGACCACAAGACCATGCCCGATGAAAGCAGCCTGCTTAAATCCCCACAGCCATCCTTCAACTTACATTCATGGGGGCAGAATCCATATTTGCCATCTGTATCAAAGTTGTAGGTGGTTGAACACCACAGAAATCCATCACTTCGCCCTGCATCGGTGCAGCTGTTGTATTCCTTCTCACTAAACAGGAAGGGGAATTTGCAAAACTCTCCATCTGCATTGCCGTATTTCACCCTGACCACTTGGAAGGAGAAGACAGAGGATCCATCAGCAGAACAAAAACAGCAGCCAATGACAGTTGAGAACGTTCTGAAGCCAAAATGACTGCCTTACCTTGGCCTTCACCCAGAGTCCAAAGTTCATCGTCATCAAAATGGGAATCACCTCCAACCCCTGGTCCAGGAGCAAAAGCATGGGCCAGAAGACCATCCTTACCATCAAAAGGATACCCATCACCATGCTCTGCAGAATAAGGAACAAAAGCAAAATGGTGGATACTGGCATCATGATATCTTTGGGACAGGAGTACTAATTTAAGAGTTATTCCTGCGGTAGGGGGAAACCCGAGAATTGCACTGATGTGAGGCTAAATAGGATTCAAATTTACTAGCCCAAAAGGAGATGGATCAGAAAGGTACACATCCATTCACTCTTGAGCTCTTGAGTAGAAGGGCAGATGAGAGAAAATGGATTTTGAAGGATCCAGCAAAGGCTTCTGTAATCCAGACTGTGATTTCTGAGAGCAACAAACGAGTTAACTTCATGAGATCTTAAGCAACACTTGAGAGAGGTGGAATTCCCTTATTTTGATCTTGTTTGTGTCCAGGATTGAGTAAAGCCATCCATTCCAGTGTCTATCAGTGATTAAGGAATCCAGTTGTTAATAGAATAACTAGAATTTCACTAAACTAGACATACTCAACTCCTGCAACCGTTCTTCATATGTTTTAGCCTCCAGACCCTTAGTCATCTTTGTTGCTCTTCTCAGAGTCTCAATATCTTTTTTCTAATGTTGCAAATCTTCATGTTCTCCTTGGGCACAGAAACCTCCTTTATTTTACAGATTTATTTTTTCCTTTGAAAAGGAGGGCCCCAGTAAGGGCATAACCCTTTCATTCACCACTTTTCTACTGGTGGCTCCTGAGGTTGCCTGTGGCTTCTTTGCCACCTTGCAGGTCAAAGGTCTGGCAGATTTGACTTGGAGCCATTTGAAACACACACTAGTGGGTCTTTATACTGGGTTACTTATTCCCTGGGGTCAAGCCAAGGCAAAATTTCTCAACCCAGAAGATCGCGTAGGAACCGAGATGCTGTAATATTATTGGCCTACCCCATCGTCCGAAGTTGATCATGATATCTGCCTCTCCGTCATGAATTCGGGAGAATTCCAGAGGCGTGACATCACTCCAGACTTTGAAGGCTCGGGCAAACGCATCATCAACCGTTTCAGAATCCAGATCTGGGGTATAGCCTAAAATTCTTAGGACAAAAATAAGGATCATCAGCAACAATACAGAACGACACAGAGCTCCAACTCAATTCTATCTCATCTGGGCTGCAAAAAGCTGGATGGCCACCAGAGGGCAGCAGAAATAATTTCATCTGTCCTGTTGGGTTTCAAGCTCTGGAGGGGACCCACTTTGTTACTGCAGAATTACAGTTCTCAGTAACTCTCCCTTACATAGCCAGACAAGAGAAAGTTTAACCCTTTGGGAGGATTCACTGTCTTTGTGATAGACCTCACACACTTAATCCTGCACATAGACCCATTCGTTTAACGGTGCAATGGGCCAGAGTCTGCAGATAGCACTAGCAGATGCAAAAAGGGAATTAATTTCCAAAGCTATTCCTTCTCTTTCTTTTTATCTCCTTTCTCCCTTCCCTTCACTCCCCTCTTTCCTGTCTCCATCTTCCTTCCTTCTCCTTCTTCTCTCCATCTCCTTTGCCTTCACTGTCCTTCCTTTCCTTATCCATCTCCCTTCTTCTCCATTTCCCTTCTTTCTTCTTCTCCTTGTCTCCATCTTTTTTCCCTTCACTCTCCTCCTCCTCCTCTCCATCTCTTTTCCCTTCACTTTCCTTCTTCCTTTCCCTATCCCCCTCTCCCTCTCCTTCTCCATTTCCTTTCCTTCTTCTCATTGTCTCCATTTTCCTTCCCTTCCTTCTTCTCCTTCTCCTTCTCCCTTTCTTCATCTCCTTCCTCTTCACTCTCTTTCTCCTTCCTTCTCCACCTCCTCCTCCTCCCTCCCCCACTCCTCCTGTTCTATTTTTTTTTAAATTTCTGATGGTGAATAAAATTCCTTCCTTCCTTCCTTCCTTCCTTCCTTCCTTCCTTCCTTCCTTCCTTCCTTCCTTCCTTCCTTCCTTCCTTCCTTCTCCTTCCTTCCTTCCTTCCTTCCTTCCTTCCTTCCTTCCTTCCTTCCTTCCTTCCTTCCTGGGGGTGAGGGAAGAAGGAATCTGCATTCTTGAAAACATCACTCTCTAATCCTCCTGTACCTCCGTTTGCAAATGTATCTGCTGAATCATCCTGAACTGACTAGGATCTGCAAAACTTGACCAGTCAGCTTGGAATAACTTTAGGCATCCTAAAATTTAACCCTCTTTTCAAGCAGACAAAAGAAAACTCCCTTGTTAGCTATGTGTTATATACAAAACTCTTGTTTCATTGGATTTGCTCCCAAATCATTTGGCCAATTTGCTTTTTGTTCCACAGCTAATTCCTGGCCAGTCAAGTCATCTGAATGAGGTGCAGAAAAGGAGGGCGCTTGTAAACACAGAGAAGGAATTTAATTTTTTTTTTTTAAAAAAAAAGTATATTTCTTCTGCCTGAACCTTATGCAACCAACGGACTACGAAGAGCCGTTTCAAATATCTCCTGCCCTCGTCACCCTGTAATTTCTGCTAGGCTTTGTTGCTGCAGACACAACACGGCTGCGGGGTTAATATCATCTCCAGCTCAAAGTGCCAAATCAAAAGTTCTAAGAAGAGAAAGGCAGACATATTGGAGCCTGTGGTATGTCATTCCATGGAGTTCAACAGAATGCAAGTTTTAGGGTTTTTTTTTTCCTTAAAGAGAAAAAAAGAGATTCTACTCTTAAAAATGACAGCGTTCTGGAAGGATGCTGCAAGCTTTCAAATAAGAAGACGGCCCTTTTCTTAAAGAATAATTGGTGGAAGGATGAAGTTGGCTCTCTGTGGCATGGAGGACCCCTTGTCTCCACTAGAGTTTCTGAAAAGACCTACTGCCTATAGAATGTAATATAATAGAGTTGGAAGGGACTTTGTTGGTCATCTAGTCCAAACCCCTGCACAAGCAGGAGACCCTATATCATTTCAGACACATGGTTGTCCAGCCTTCAGTGATGGAGCACCCACAACTTCTGAAGACAAGCTATTCCATTGGTGAATTGCTCTCACCATTAGGAAATTTCTGCTTAGTTCTATGTTCTAGTTTCCAACCACTGTTTCTGGTCTTGCCTTTTGGTGCTTTAGAAAATACTTTGACCCCCCCTTATCTTTGTAAGAACCCCTCAAATATAGGAACAGTACTATCACATACCCTCTAGTCCTTTTCATTAAACTAGTCATACTCAATTCCTGTAACCGTTCTTTTATATGTTTACGCCTCCAGCCTGCTAGTCATTTTTGTTGCTCTTCTCTGCAGTTGCCAACCCCTTGCATAGAGTTCACAGCTGACCTATAGATTTATGGACTGTCACATAAATGTTGTGATTACTACGAGGGATTCTGTCTTCCTCTAAAAACGCTGAGAAGAATAAACAATAGAGTAGAAATCTTTACTTTTCTACTGGTTTCCTTGCTGGGCAATTGCATGCATAGGACCAATGGAGAAAACAAATATTGGATCTTCAAGAAACCCTTTCAACCTCTACCAAGTCATAGATCACTGCATTTGGGGATGGAAGCTCCTCTAAAAGCTGATGATCTTTCTTCCATGTGGTTGGAACAACTAGAAGATCCATGTTTTCCTTCTTGGGGTAATTATGTTCAGAAGACACTGTGCCAGTTGGTACCTACCTATATGTGACCAGGTTTTTCTCCCATTTTGGTTTCCTGGGGAAGAAATTATAATTGGCTACATCTGGGTTGCCACACCTGGGCTTTTTCATGGTTTCTATAGTGTTTTGGTCCAGTTCACCAGTCTGAGGAAGCCCAAAGAACTTCTGCATTTTCACCAAAGTGTCCTTCAGGACTAGTAAGTTGCAATTATCTTTGGGACATCCGTAATACTTGTTGAGGTATTGCTTTTGGAGAGAAGAAAAGACAGGCAGTGAAAATGGAAAGAAAGAAAGAAATGGATCTAAATCTTTACCTCTCTTGTTGAAAAAACAAACAACATTTTCAAACGTTGACCCCCCCCCAACCCAAAGATCAGCCCTACAGTTGCCTAATTCTGCATTTGTCTTTGGCCCAATTGGCTGAATGAGAATGAAGCCAGAATCTGTTGGCGTATCTCATGTTAATTAAGTCATCTCTGAAGCTGATGTCAACATCAAGACTAGGATGGGCAATGAACTTTGGCTTTGTATAATAATATGATAGAAGAGTGTCCTGGGGTGTCAAAAGGTAAAGAGGGGAGCCAAGATCCTGCACAAATCGATCCCAAACATAAACCAAACAGGCAGAGGTTGTCATTCCATCATGGCTGCCACTTGGGCTTTTTGACCATAACTTGAGTTCACCTTGATGATATCTATGGTTGGGAATAACAGCTAGGTCAGTGGTGGTGAACCTATGGCACACATGCCAGAGGCGGCACTCAGAGCCCTCTCTGTGGGCACGTGTGCCTTCGCCCCAACCCTGCATCCCCCAACGGCCCCCTCCTCACCAGCAGCCCCCCCGGAGAGTCGCCCCTGGGCATGGCCCGCACAGAGCAGCGCAGCCAAGGACATGGCAGCCGGGTAGCGGGGACAAGACTCCGTCCTTGCACTCTGTCATGCGCAGATGATGCTACAGGGCGTGGATGGAGGGTGTGGCCACCATGGCGTTGCTGGGCCGCCTGGGTGATCTGTTGCGGTGGGCCGTAGAGGCGGGTGGCCCTGTGGGCAGGCAGGGCATGGGGTGGCGGGCGGGGGCGGGGTGGTTTTTGGGCACTCGGTCTCTAAAAGGTTCGCCATCACTGAGTTAGGTCAAAGGCTTTGAACAAGAATAGAAGGGTCAACTCTAGTCTTGAGTTAGTCCTTCATTCTTAATGTTCTGCAGTCTTTCGCCCACTTTACATGGAGACTTTGCAACTTTCAGCCTTCCATGAACAACCATAGCAGGGGGGGGGGACCTGTTGGTCTTGAAACTACAGTAATCCTCAGCTTACGACTACACTTGGGACCAGAATTTCCATCACTAAGCAAGTCGGTTGTTAAGTGCCTGACAAGATCTCCTCTTTTTTTGCCACACTTGTTAAGCGAATCACTGCAGTTCTAAGTGAATCATGTGGTTGTTTGGTGAATCCAGCTTCTCTCATTGACTTTGCCCGTGGGAAGGTTGCAAACGGAGATCACGTGATCCCCAGGATGCTAGATGTGCTGGTTGCCAAGGGCCAAAATTTTGATCACATGACTGTGAAGAGGATTCAATGGTTGTGGACGCAAGGACCAGTTGCAAATCACATTTTTCAATGCCATTGTAAATCTGAGCGATGGCCCAATGAACAATCATAAGTTGAGGACTACCTGCTCATCATTAATATATATCTTCTATGTGACAATGTCTGTTGCTTGCCCTCCTCAGAATGGTGGGAACTCAAATCCAGTGATAGTTAGAAGGAAGGGGCATTTAAAAAAGGTATTTTCCTCCTAAAAGGGCAGATTATCTACACCCAGTGGTTCATGTCTATAATCATCAGAGCTTTATTCAGAATTCAATGCAATTTAATTATAGAGGCAAATTAATAGAGCTTCTTCTTCAGCTACAAGCTAAAGTCCGGAGTCCAGTAACCCAACGGGACTAGGATTTGAGAGGTTCTTGGCGTTCTTTGAACTTGGCTGTTTTCTTGCAGATGTCTCATTATCCAAACCAGGTAACATCATCGGTGCTAGCGATAAACTAGCAACTAGCATTGATCATGTTGCCTAGTTTGGGTAATGAAACATCTGCAAGAAAACCACCAGGCTCAAAGAGCACCAAGGACCTGACAGTTCTTCTTCTCTTCCTCTTCCTCTTCCTCTTCTTCCTCCCCCCCCTCCTCCTCTCTGCAAACCCCTCTCCCTTCTAGCACTGATGATGCTACCTAGTTTGGGTAATGAAACGTCTGCAAGAAAACCACCAGGCTCAGAGAGCACCAAGGACCCCTCATTTCAACCCTGAGCTATAAATATTCTCCTTTATCGGTACAAGGATTTGAATCCTGCAGTTTGGCTGCAGTGTTATATCATGATGAAGCTCAAGAGAAAAGAGAGGGATTTACACAATAAAGTAAACCATTCTTTGTTGGAGGTTTCTTATTTTTATTCTTTTTTACATTGGGGTTTTTTATTGTTTGCAAGCTGCCCAAGAATCACTGTGAGTGAGTGGGCAGGCATATACATCTTCTAAGTAAATAAATAAACTCTCAGCTACTACTGTGCAAGTCAATGGAGTGTGTTTCTCCTAACTTATTTTCTAGACAGTCAACTTTTAAAGAGTCACTGAACAGGCAGATGAGGAATCGTAATTATAATACGAAACATTTTATAGGCCCCTCTCCAACAGATTTTCTACAAACATAACTCTGGCAGAGCTCTAAGGGGCAATTACTGCCTTTCAAGATGAGTTTTGAGACTCGTTAGTTAAGTTGGCTGAAAAATTAAGCTTTAAAATTAAGTGGGCCTCTCCGACTATGCATAAGTAATGCATTAAGAAAAAAACAGAGCAAGAAAATCATCCAGATGGAAGTCCCGATTCTTAAAGCTTATATTTTATACACACATAAAAGAGAGGAAAAAAAACAACTTACAAGCAAATTACAGGTCATCCTGGAAAAAAAAAACTGTAGGGTTTGCTTCAGATTTGTTTATTCAAGCCTCAGAAATCTCCTGATAGACTTTCTGGAGTGAGATTGCTCAAAATTATACTGTTTTGACTTGGCTTTACAAGAAAAAGAAAAAGAAAAAGAAAAAGAAAGAAAGAAAGAAAGAAAGAGAGAGAGAGAGAAAGAGAGAGAGAGAGAGAGAAAGAGAGAGAAAGAAAGAGAAAGAGAGAGAAAGAAAGAAAGAAAAAGAAAGAGAGAGAGGGAGAGAAAGAAAGAAAGAAAGAGAAAGAGAGAAAGAAAGAAAGAAAAAGAAAGAGAGAGGGAGGGAGAGAGAAAGAAAGAAAGAAAGAAAGAAAGAAAGAAAGAAAGAAAGAAAGAAAGAAAGAAAGAAAGAAAGAAGCTTTTCTAAGACCAAGAAGTCAGTCGGTCTGCCAACTATTTTTTGATCTCTGGTCTGCAACTTTGGAAGGAGATATGGATCCAGATCTTGCACAGACATTGCAGACTATTTCAACAACAACAACAACAACAACAACAACAACAACAACAACAAGCTCAACTTACGAATGCCAGTTCTTTGTCAGTTTTGGGGGAAACGTCACCTGGAAACCTAATGATGGGTGATGGGATCAAGGCTACGTCTTCCGATTGCCTGAGGGTGGGCGGTGGAGGTGCAGAAGCTGTATTTAAAATGGAGAGCAGGATCAGAAGGATTTTTAAAACGCAGTCCACAATCCTGAAAGAAATGCTCTCCTTCATCTTCTCCAGTTTTTCCCCTTTCCTTGTAGACCTCCTCGCTCAAGGATACCTTGGGGGGAGAGAGAGTGGAGTTGTAAAACCTCTTTGCTCCGGTTTTTTATGAGCACATCCTCACTCTTTTCAGAGCCTTTTCACTTCTGCTTGCTCCAGCAATTCCTTTGTATGCTTTCAAACATCCCCAGATGCGCAGGCTCCTAAGCTGCTGCCAAAGGAAGTCTGAAGGAAAGAAAAAACCAGATGTGGACTTAGTCAGGCTGGATGTGGTTCCCCCCCCCACACACATTTTTAAGGTAGCTTGCACAAACTGTTATCTTAAGGAAAGCCAGGAATCAGGAGAGACGAGAAGGGCATTAATTAAGATTAACCCTGGAATGAATGAAATGAATGCCTGGGAAAAAAGTTGCTCTACTTCTGCAGTTAGTTAGATGTTAAATAAGGTCGCAGGCTGGGAGAGGAATCATTGTGTTTTTTAGAAACTACAAAAAGCAGTTTTAGTCTGACACCAAACTACAGGAGAGTTTGTCTTCTCTTTTGACCTGGGACAGATCAACTGAAACCATCTCAGATCAAAGGAATCGACTACAGGGTGGGTGGGTAGATCTGTAGGTTGAAGGTGTCCTTAAATGCTTGAATTCTTGAAATAGGCATTAAGGTAAAGAATAGCTGGATCAATAGGCCGTTTGATTGTCTTCGTAACTTCTTTGCAAATTTAACAGGAAATGCCTTTCCCTCTTGCTAATAAAGAGCCCAAAGAATTTTGTTTTGTTTTATTTTATGGTAGGACAGGAGCCTGATGGCTCAGTGGTTAAAGATGCTGAGCTTCTCAGCTGGAAAGCTGACAGTACAGGTTCGTGACCGGAGCGTTGCATGACAGGGTGAGCTCCCGTTCCTTATCCCAGCTCCTGCCCACCTAGCAGCTCAAAAACATGCAAATGTGAGTAGATAAATAGGTACCACTTCGGTGGGAAGATAACAGTGTTCCACGCACCTCCGTGTATATAGTCATGCTGGCCACATAATCATGGAAGCATCTTCAGAAAAGGCTGGTTCCCTTGGCTGAAAAACAAAAATAAGCACCTTTCCTTTCCTTTCCCTTCCCTTCCCTTTCTCTTTCTCTTTCTCTCTCTCTCTCTCTCTCTCTTTCTTTCTTTCTTCCTTTCTCCTCTTACAATTCTGCTACTTAATTTGAAAAGTCAAGACATCCTTTCTATTTCTCTCTCTCTTTCTCTTTCTCTTTCTCTTTCTCTTTCTCTTTCTCTTTCTCTTTCTCTTTCTTTCTTTCTTTCTTTCTTTCTTTTTTTTTTTCTTTCTTTCTTTCTACCTCTTACAATTCTGCTACTTCACTTGGAAAGTCAAAACATCCTCTTCCTCTCTCTCTCTCTTTTCCTTTTTTTCTTTCTTTTTTCAACCTCTTACAATTCTGCTACTTAATTTGGAAAGTCAAGACATCCTTCCTTTCTTTCTTTCTTTCTTTCTTTCTTTCTTTCTTTCTTTCTTTCTTTCTTTCCTTCTTTCTTTCTTTCTTTTTTTCTTCCTTCCTTCCTTCCTTTCTTTCTCTTACAATTCTGCTACTTAATTCAATTGACCACCTTATCCCTGAGTTATGCTGCCTGGCTTTGGCAAGTGAGCTAACAAGGTCAGCATTTAATTGTTTGTTATGTGTCTTCCACAAGAAACTATCCAGATCACCATCTGATTTTAACTGGACTGGCTGAAAACTTCCTGACCTTCATAGAGTTCTGTTTCCTATTGCAACATCAGTAGAACATTAATAAAACAGAACTTAAATAGAGTAGAGTAGACTTCTCAAGAAGAAGAAAAAAAGGCTGATAAAACTATTATATATTTTGCTTCTTAAGCTCTGGCATTCTTTCCATTTTACTTTTTAATTATTGTTTCACTATTTATAAAGAGCATGCCCTAGAGCTTATCAACACAGTCAGGAAAAAAGGAGGTCAAGATCATATCAGTGACAGAAAATAGTTTTTTATTCCCAAGAGTTGACATCTGGATTTAAAGGCCACCAAATACCCAGGGTCACTTTGCGGTTAGTCTAAATGCTTTACATTCCCCAGATGACCACATCTGCTTAAATCAACAACAAATTGTGATGTATTATGGACTGAGTAATCTACTATCAGGATATATTATCTTGAAATAACATATGGCTGTCACTTGGGGCATAAAGCAGCTGGAGGACTCAAAGCTACCATTTTCATTTCCCACAACGCTTTCAACGATGCAGTTCACCAGAGGATTCTGGGAAATTAAAGCAGTGGTTTAACTTGGGTTGCTTCAGTTCCATCTTGCTGTGGTTAATTGCTGGTTCATCAAGGTTGAAATCTTCTCCCTAAAGAATATTTGAACTGCTCATTGATAGATTCTGCCTATTCAAAGTCTTCTTTGAGTTAAACTCAGATCTCGGTGACTTTGTGCAGAATAACAGAAGAACAGAATTGGAAGGGACCTTAGAGATCTTCTAGTAGTGCAACCCCTGATAAAGTAGGAAACCCTATACCATTTCAGACAATGTCTTCTTAAAAACCTTGAGTGTTGGAGCATCCACAACTTCTGGAGACATGTTGTTCCACTGATTCATTGCTCTCATTGTCAGGAAATTTCTCCTTAGTTCTAGGTTGCTTCTCTCCTTGATTAGTTTCCATCCATTGCTTTTTATCTTGCCTTCAGGTGTTTTGGAGGTTAACCCCTCTTCTTTGTAGTAGCTGCTACATTTGACCATGTATATGTATATGTATGTACATATGACCATTTAGATATGTCACTTTCCATGCCACCTCTGAAACAGTTCCGGTTTGAAACATTTTTGGAAGGGGGAGCAATATAAGGCAACTTGGGCCTCTAAAGAAAAGCTGTTGCAGAAGACAGGTATGGCCACTGAAACATAGCACCTTTGAACCTCAGCTCTGCTTACTTTACAAAAGTGTTGTTGTTCCTGGAGTGTTGATTGTTCAGTTGGGTTGGTTGTGATTGGAAGCCTTGAAAGTATGTCAGTGCCATTATGCCATTATGTCCCCATTCTCAAATATGGCCCAACACTGGTCATGTAACAATCTGAATTTTGGTGAATTTGAACAAAAAGACAAATAAGGAAGGAAGGAAGGAAGGAAGGAAGGAAGGAAGGCAGGCAGGCAGGCAGGCAGGCAGGCAGGCAGGCAGGCAGGCAGGCAGGCAGGCAGGCAGGCAGGCAGGCAGGCAGACAAGGAGGTTCTCTGATGTATCAAGTCTAAATTGACAGACTTCTAGTAGTCTATCTAAAAGATGCAGCAGTGAACAGGAAAGAAGGAATTGTCCCCAGTACATAAAACTCAACACAAAGCTCTTATGAAAGGAACAGACACTTTGTGGCTTTTCAGAATGAGTCACAATGGTAACAAGCTCAAATGCAAAAGCCAACAAAGAGGGTTTTTCCAGGACTCCCTTGGCACCATGTTTGGGTGAAAGCATGAGATTTATCCAATCCAGCTGGAAGATAATTACATAACTTTTTTTTTCTTTTTGGTAATCGAAGTTGATTAAATCCAAGAGCAAATTTTGAAGGGAAGGATCTGTTGCCTGTGGAAAGCAATTTTTTCCAAGGACCAGCATCCAAGATTTTCATTGCCCCACTTTCTGCTTGTGCTGGCATCAATGGCTAGGGACATAAGTTTCATATTTATGGATTATGATGAAAGGAAGAAGAGGAAGAAGAAGAAGAAGGAGAAGAAGAAGAAGAAGAAGAAGAAGAAGAAGAAGAAGAAGAAGAAGAAGAAGAAGAAGAAGAAGAAGAAGAAGAAGAAGAAGGAGGAGGAGGAGGAGGAGGAGGAGGAGGAGGAGGAGNAGGAGGAGGGGGAGGAGGGGGAGGAGGAGGAGAAAAAGAAAGAAAGAAAGGAAAAAAGGAAAAAAGGAAAAGAAAGGAAGGAAGAAAGAAAGAAAGAAAGAAAGAAAAAGAAAGAAAGAAAGAAAGAAAGAAAGAAAGAAAGAAAGAAAGAAAGAAAGAAAGAAAGAAAGACTCTCTACAACTCTTTAAGAAGCCATATCTAGTTTGTCACTGTGCTTTGTTTTCTGGACTTCCTTTTCTTGCTTATGAGTTACAACATACACACATGGACACAAAACCTATATTGTTTCATCATGAGATGTAGAAACACTCAGAAAAGTAGCTGTTCTCTATTTCTGGATGAGTGGTATATTGTCTGTAATTTGGATATACTAGCCTGGGAGAGAAGCCAGCACATGCAACATTTTCAGGTTTTTGAAAAGTTTAGTCAGCATCTGGGAAAGAGTGGTAGAAATCCAAAACGGGTGAAAACTTTTTTTTCCAGAGCAAAGAACAGTGAAGACCCACCCACTTCTTTTCTTCTTTTTTTCAACATCCTGAATACTAATAGCAAATTTAGATGAAGAAATGTCATTGATTCAGCACAAAAAAAACCAGCAGCCTTATGCCCAAGAAAGGCATACATAGTTTGGATTCAAACTCTCCCATATTTTAAGGAGAAAGAATCTGGAAAAAGGAGAAATGGCCTTTAAATCCAATAGCCAGGAAATCGGTTTCAAAAACATGGACTACATGTTCTCCTCTCTACGTTTATAGTTCCACATTCAGTCAGCTGATACAATCAACTGCTTTCCTAAGCAAAACTGGTTAAATATGGAAAATGGCATACAACCAGATCTTTCTCCTGACTTTTCTCTCCTCTGCTTGAACTTGGACATCTGATTTTAATTAAACAAAAAAATAATAATAAACCTTTTTTTTTTTTTACCAAGCAGATATCCTACAACACAGCAGTGAAATTCAAGAGCTTAGGTGGCATTTAATCCTATGTCAGACATAGCTGTTTGTAAGCTGGATCTTTTCGCTGCTTGAAGGAAACCAACTCTTATGAACTTCCAGAAAAAGGTGAAAGAGTGAGAAAGTCTCAGCAAAATTAGGTAGGTTGTGTTACATTCCAAAAAACTTGGAGGTCAAAACTTCTGGGGGATGAAAGGATAAGTCTGCTGATCATGTAA